CTTTTAAGGAAAGGGTGAATGAAGATCTATGTGTCATAGCTTCAAGATCACAAATATACAGAGCAAGGCAAAAGACAACTACTGTACATGAGGGGACTTACACAAAACAATTTGAGTCTCTTTGATCATGTTGAGGAGCTAAAAAGGACAAATGTGGGAAGTACTGCAATAATTAAGTCCAATTTAGAGGGTGACAAATCTAGATTTCAAAGGATTTATATATGCTTGGCAGCTACAAAGAAAGGGTTTATTGATACTTAGAGCACCTCCACCCCAAAGGGCAAGGCTAAGGCCAAGGCCAAGGCAAAGGCAAGGCAATGTTTGTCGCTATTCACGTGAATAGTGGCAGCCCTTGTCTTTTTTGTTTCCACCCAAAAGGGCAAGGGCAATGGCAATTACTATTCATTTTAATTTATTTTCTATTTTTTATACTTAAACCATTAATTTTGGCGTGGGAAGTGGAAAATATAACTAGGTATTTATATATAAAAAAATTCTAAAAATTCTGGTTTTTTTTTTCGTTTTTAAATTTTTTTTTTCATTGTTGACGTTAGCAAACCCAGGCAAGATTTTCCTTTGGGCTTGCCTAGGCGTGTGGACCCCATCAATTGCCCGGTCTTGACGTTGCGCGCTGGAGCCAAATGTTGGGCCTAGGCCCCCTCTCGCCCGGGCAAAAGAGCAGCGCTGGAGGTGCTCTTAGAGGCCAGTTGTTGGCTTGGATGCTTGTCACATCAAAGGACAAAGGGCAACACCCTGGGCAATTACTCTCTGTTGTTGGTGTTGATCCTAACATCGACATTTATCCAATAGCTTATGCAGTGGCAGGGGCTGAGAATTATGAAATTGAAACTTGGTTTTTAGAACTCTTAGCTGTTGATCTCAGCTTTGGAAATAGCAATAGGTATGTGTTCACTACAGATAGATAAAAAGGCTTAATTGATGCAGTGGGTGACATGTTCAGACCTGTTCTCAGAAAACCCATGTCTAGTTTTTCCTTGTTGATCAAATGAAGTAAAAAAATAAGTAGTCGTTAAAATAGTATACTGAAATCTCATCTTCTACCTTAAGTGGAAGCAAAAATTTGGTCAACCACATTTCATATGCAACAATTGAAATCTCATATCTTATATTGAACTAACTACACATACAAATTCAGAATCACTGACAATCAACTAAAGTTTCCTCCTCTTCGAAGTCCTGGCTTGCGTTCGAACATTTCTCACTTTTCTTGATTGAAGATGTCTCGAGCTTCTTAGCCTTTGAGATCTGCCCACAACATGAACAGACCTTCCCCTAGACTTTACATGGTGGTGGCTATGAGTGCCATGCCTACTTGATGGGTAAAAAGATCTCTGCAGCTTGTCCTTTCTTCTCCTGCTGAGTGACTTCCGCTTTCTGCTGACATTCAAATTATGATAGTTATCCCGGAAATCAATTTCCTCGCTTGAACTGTATCCTTGTTCAATGTCTCGAACTTGGCAGCGGCGATGGAGGTAATGACGGCGGTTTACCCTCTTAGTGTTCTTTAGCTTGTACCACAGAAAACAAGTAATATCTTCTAGTGCATACCAGTATGTCTCACATGCAGCCCAACACATCTTGCAGAGGCTTTTTCCAATGCATTGGAATAACCCCAGCTTGAATAATAGATAGAAGAATAATAAAGCTGAACAAAAGTAAGAGGGTAAACAAATCAAACATTTCTGCAACTGAAGCTGAAAGCAAATTGCGCTTCCAAGGCTAGTCTACGAAGCAAACTCTAACGAAAATAAGAAGAGCACAACTAAAGAAGAAGGAGAAATTACTTATGTAGCAGAAGACCAAGATCATTAACAGTTTCAACAGATTGGAGACACATAGATGCTCAATAAAGCAAACGAAATCCCAGGGTCCTGAACACACATTCCTGCAGAATCAAACATATTAGAGTAATATTAGCAGTGCAGTGAAGTATAATCGAAAAAGTATTCGTCTTTCTTCTATCTTTCAAATGAAGTAAACAAGCAACAGATTACGAACAAAAAGCGAACAAGGAAAAATTGTATGAAAATTATCTGAAAGGTTTTGGCAAACAGATATGAAAAAGACTCATAGCAGGCTCCCAAGTCAGTGCAACACAACCATATCATACTAATTTTTATATGAAATTACGACAAATAATCGAACAGAATGATGGCCAGGCCGGCAATAAAGAGAACATTTCACCAGAACTTACTCGCATGAGCCACCAAACATGGTCTTAAATGGAGCCAAAAACGCCTTTTCAAGTAGACCACCAACCCCATCTGCAGCTTTACTGATGACATGCCCCATCTGCAATACAAGTTCAAGTTCAAAAGAATGTGTTTATTGCTGCCAACTCCTCCATCCCATTGATCTCGCTGCCCGCGAAAAAGTATATCAAGCTGCACAACAATACATGAAATTTGAATGTAAAAATGATTAATTAAAGCAATAATACAAACCCACAAAGTTGACCAAAAACATCATTAACAGTTTGAGATATTCTGAAGCAAACACATCGCTGAACAGTAGTAATTAAGCTATTCATGAGCAGATTTGCAGGAGACACAAAATAACATTAGCTTGATATACAGGTATTAATGCATGTTCCTTCCGTTTGCAGACAAATTCGATGTGGTCGAGGCCCTTCACCTTGCAACAACTGACGGCTGAGACTTTATCTATATTGCTACTCGGCTCCTTCAGCCTTCTTAGTATTGTCTAGATTTTGAAGAAGCCATGGTTATACTGGAAATGCACTACTGAAACTTCTGAGGCATACACACAAACTGCTGACGACAAAATCTTGTTTCTATCATGTATATGCAGACGAAAAGATAGTAAGAACAAATTCCAAGCATGATAACAGATGAAGAAACCTTATTCTAACAGATTTGAATTAAGAATATTTGAGAAGATTAGAAAGAATTTGACAAATACCCTTTTCTTGTGCATGTTACAGATTGAATGCCATCTCATGCTTCCTGCACGGTTGGAAAAAGAACTATCAAACAAAGAGAATAAAAAAAAACCCAAAAAAGAGTTGTAAAACAAAAATGGGAAGTCAGTATTCTGTATAGTTTGCAGATAATTTGATGAAACAACAAACATAACCCATAAACTTACCCGATCTGTAGCTTCATGAAACTAGTGGAGAACAAGAAATGGATCTTCCGTCCAATGCAATTTGCAGGAGAAGCAGTGGCAGTTGGATGCAGTTAATCCCACGTTCTGCCTTTTGGTGTCTCTTCTCTTCTCTCTTTTTGCACGTTTAATCTCTTTGCTTTAATTTTTATTTTTACAATAACTTATTATCTGGCGTGTTGGGGGACATTAATCTGGTTGATTTGACCATGAACAAATCAACAGGTTTAAAAACCGAACGGAAATGTATGGTTTGGTTTAGTTTGATTTTGAACTTTTATAGACTGACCTAAATTGAATCGGACCATCTACTTATATATATTGTTTTATATGTGTAGAATTTTAATTAGATAATACTAATATAGGAGTGTTGAATTTGAAGTTTGATGAACTTTTGGAGTTATTGATAATAAGTGAGCTTTGGTTCGGCCGAAGATTTAGAGTGAAACCGATCCAATTCGGACATGATTGTTTTTTCTTGCAATTTTGTATGTCACCGGTCATTATTAGTATTATTTTTTGTTTTAAGGATATTTCTGGTATATTGATTTTTAGTGGATAATCAATACACTCAAAGAAAAATAAAATTTTGAATATCAAAACGACATATCAACACAAAGAGAAACTCTTGAGGCTGTGTCCAAAAAGAACCGAAGCTTTTAGCTGTAGCGAATGAAAAAAAGAAGACCACCCTTCCCGCTCATTCCCAATTTCCCCTTCTTCACCTCACATGGACTCGGCGGCAAAGGATGAGCAACCTGCTCACGTCAAACACTTGGCGGCATTTCTCATCCGCCACCACTCTGACCAGCTTCGCTCCGTCGCTCTCTCCCAAGACCCGAAGCTTCATTTCCCTCTCTACGTCAAGTACATCAAACCCTCATCAAAACCCATTTTACTTTTTTTTTTCTTTTTCAATGGTTTGCATCTTTCACTCTCTGACTCTTTAAGCTATCTTTCTCTATCTCTCACTTTTTGTGTGTGTATATATATCTTAGTTTTGCAGAGCTCATGGATGATGATCCTCCGCTTTCACACCTCGTCTTCTTTCAACCCACCGAGTACTTGCGGCTTTTCGACGAGGCGGCTGTTTGGGCTCATGTATGTATTCAAATTGTGTGTTTAATTACAAGTGTAGTCTTAATTTGTTGAACTGAACTTGTTGAAATGATGAATTTTGATTTGGGTATGTGTGGTATTCTGTGTAGAAAGTCATATTGGGGGATTTGAATGGTTCCTATAAAGGGATAAAGAAGGAATTCATTCATGTTCGTATCGATATCGGCGGTTCACCACTTGAATGCCCTGGTCTGCTTCTGTTTAAGCTCTTAAAAATTATTTGGAGCCATTTCTTTCAACTGGGTATTCTTAATTTTGTTATAAACTGTTGGTTGATGTGTGTGTTACGTAGAGACTTTTCCAAGCATTGGGCGTGTGAGAGTCAAGCATCGTGGGATTCTGCTTACTCTCAAAGGGACAGTAATTCGATCTGGAGCAATCAAGATGTATGAAGGAGAGAGGAAGTATATGTGTCAGAAATGCAAGCACGAGTGAGTTTTTTTTTCTCTCCACAACTATTACACACATACTGTGTTTGTGGAAAGAAAGAAACATCTGGATATATTAAAAATTCTTGTGCTTAAAGAAATATAATGTTCATAAATTTGGTTCATTTCACTTCTAAATCTTGACTAGCTATGTTAGCATCCTTGCTGCTCAATATGTTTTGAGAGCATGAATAACCTAGCTCAGTGCTATTGTATGTAATTTACCAATTACAGTAAAACTGTCTAGAAAAGTAAATTCTGCATCTGATCAGCAGTTTTTCTTGGAATAATTTCAGTATGAAAGATAGGTACTAAATATGATATTCTTTTACTATTTCATGTGGTATATTGAATCTTTTTCTTTGAGAACAAATTTGTAGTTTACTGGAATTATAGATGTAGCACATATGCAGATATTATTCCAGTATATATTGGAATAAACTCCTCTTTGCGTTGCGTTAAGTTAACTTTGTTTATCTGCAGATTCCTGGTTTATCCTGAGCTGGAATCGAGAAACTCCATAAAACTGCCATCATATTGCCCCTCTCAGGTTATTTACTTCAGCTCAGAACTAAGAATATTATTTGCTATTCATAGTTTGGAAAGTCCGAAGGCAACATTGAGATTAGCATTAGCAACTATCAGAAGAGGTCATGTGAGTACATGTAAAACATTAAAAAGTCTTTAGATTTTTTAAAGTAGGAACATTGTCATCTAGATCTTTGATTTTGGTTTTTTTAGACTTCTTGTAGTTTGCAATTATTCTTGGGCTTTAGCTTCAGTGGTACATGATGGGTTTGATTGGGTCGGTTGTTGGTTTCAATCATGCTAAGAATGAAGAGAGAATAATTGAAGATTGACACTGTGTGTGGATTCAGATGTTTAATAGGACACTTAGTGTTTTATTTTACTTTTGCATTTTTTTACGGGTCACATCTCTTCTGAATTTTGATATAATTATGCTTTTGGAGTTTTGGCATCTGATCTGATTTTCCCAATGACAGAGGTCTAGACCCTGTGAAGGCACAAAGTTCGGGCATTTAGAAGGTTCTATTACATGCCATGATTATCAGGAAATTAAAATCCAGGAGAGTACACATGTACTGGGTGTTGGGGCAATTCCTCGCTCAATTCCTGTCATTCTAAAGGACGATCTTGTTGATATTGTTAAAGCTGGAGGTACTACATTCTGGGATCTCTGCTTTCTTTTCTTCTTTTCTTTTTCTTTTTAATAATTTACCTCCTGATATTACTGATTCCAAAGTGAAACTTAATTTCAGTTTGAAAATTATCCCAGTTTTATTAATTGGAAATAAGTAATCATACATTTTTGTCAAAACATACTTTTAGTCCCTGTATTTTGCTTAGGAATTTTCAATTTCAACCCCGAATAAAAATGCACAATCATACCCCTGTAATTTGAATTAGGTTGCAATAAAGCCCAAATCTCAAAAAGTGATCACTTTTTCATGTTTTAAAAGGGATTGGAGAGTGAATTTGACATTTTAAGTGCAACAATAACCACCTGACTGTACAAAAAATTCAAAATCCTTTGTCCAATCCCTTAGAATACACATGACAAACTGGTAATCTTTTGGGCTTGATTGCAACCGATTGAAACTACAAGGGCGTTATTGTCCATTTTTAAACTACAGGGTTGAAACCGAAAATGCTAGCAAACTACAGGGACCCAAAGTGTATTTTGGCCTACAATTTTGGATAATACAAGAATGTGCTTGTTTTCAAGTTTCTTTCAGTGTAAACCATTTAAGATTACCATATATTGTTTTGCCTTTTAAAATATTAAAACAAAGCTCAATTATGGTTTACTTAAAGATGAACTTCATGGAAACTTAGCACTTTAAAAGGGTGTTGCATGAAGAAAATTCTTAACTTTGTACTAGAGAACTACAGGAAAAGAGGTGTGCTATCTCGAAGATGAAGCTGTTGTATATGTGCTCTTGAATCTCTTTATACTTATTTTGTATTTCTCCTTTCTCGGTTATTTCCTCTTGGATAAATGTTGTTTTATTTGTTTGTACCTGAAAAATCCTTGACTGTAAGATGACTAATAACTAAGCCATTTTACAAAATCTATGAGAAAACCATAAATCTTCACACTTTTATGGTCAAGTAATTTTCTTAAGTAATCATTTGGACTTGGGTGGTCAGATGTCAATAAAATTATTCTCTATCAATTCTCACTAATTTTATATAAAGATCATAGATATCTGTTCACTCCAACTAGGAAACTCAGCTTGGTTGCTTAGCAACTTGAGCTTTACCAAACTGATTCAGTCAAACAAAACTTTGTATAATTTCTTGAGTCCTTTTCTTTGACAATGTAATTGGTGACAGCTTCAGGATTTTGTGTAGACTTGTACAAAGATGGCATAAACCTTATCCTTAATCTTAATATCTTTTGCTATTAATAATGGTGTCCTTGTGGCGATTTGGACCTACTCTTTGAATATGTGGTTGTTTGTTATGTTAATTTGTGCCTGCATTTTTCCCTCATTATTATGTAGCATCTATTCTCATTATTATATAGCATCTTTCGTGTCCTGCTTTAAATGAATGAATCTATACATATATTATATATATATATATATATATATAGCGAGAGAGAGAGAGAGAGAGAGAGCTTCCATTGAGGGCTCCCTCAAATATTATTTGAGGGACACCCTTGTAGGGCCCACTCAACATTGTATTTCACTAATCCAAACCGTCTATTTTTTAGATAATCATTCAAAGATCATCTCTACAAAAAATCACTTGAATCCGATATCATTTGACCACTCAATTGAGTTATTGAAATTTTAGTACTTTCTCTAAGCACCGTGTTCATTGATTTTGTAGGACACAATTGGATGTCGAAACGGTTTCCGATTTATCTAATTTTTTGCAAGGATGATCTATGAATGTAGATTTAAAAAATAGATGGTTTGGATCGTTGAAAAAAAATTCGTACAGGAACCTAAAGGGCGTCCCTCAAATAATTTGATCCCTCAATAGAAGGGGACTGTAATATATATTTGTTTATGTTATAAGATGTTTTTAAAATTCGCTTGTATTACTTGATTTTGTTGTGTAGTGGTGAATATGACTTTAATTAATTGTTAATGCAGATGATGTTATCGTTACTGGGATATTAACTGCAAAGTGGTCTCCAGACTTAAAAGATGTGCGTTGTGACCTCGATCCTATATTAATTGCTAATTATGTTAGGTAAAATTAATAGTATTTTTTTTTTTTGGAATTTACATCATGAATGGATTTAAGAATACCATATGG